CCCTCTGACAGGGCTGTTTTAAGCCCTTCCGGGCAGGAGTGGGTGACCACCCCGCTACAGTACGGCACCAGTCCTGCATGCCCAGGGCACATGTGTAACACACAGTGTCTTCAATGGGCATTCTGAATGAAGAAGGCTCGTCAGGCTGGCCTTGCAACATCTACTCACATTCACTTCCTCTTAATTGTGAAGGCCTTTATCTGAAGCAAAAACAACAGGCTTAGTTTAGAGTCTTTATTTAAAATAGATTTATAAAAATTGTACATATATTGAACGTTAAAAATACACAAGGATGGGAGTATCTTTATAAACATTCATTATTTTCTACAAAGTGCCTAACTGCACAATACTGTAGCAGCCCAAACTGGTCCTCTGTTACGGTGTAAAGTTTGCAGATATGTGAAAACATTAGTGTTACAACCCCTCAGCTCTCCCTCCCAATGCAACAACCTGCCCTCAGAATTTACACAGTGCCACATGAACTGATGTCATCCCCTCAGTCATTTCTCAGAAACGCTTGATTTGGTACTGAAATGACAGAAAACTCCACCTCCTTTTAAATGATTAATACCACCTTAATTCAAATGTCCTTTTGTACCTTTAGTAAAATGGGGTGGTCTGTTCCCCATTTTAAAGGCCAGTGTCATACATCTGGACATTAGACGGATATCAGAAAGAGTGTATAATTCTGACACACTGGTAATAATCATGGTTCAGTTTCTTTCCTTGAGCTCTGCAACATCCTAAAGCCATATCATGCCAGTAAAAGATGGCAAAGAGGAGTGAAACTTAGGCTGTAATCCAGCACTTCAGCATGTGCCGAACTTTAAGCATCTGAGCAGTCCCAGTGAAGTCAATGGGACTATTTAGGTGCTTAAACTTATGAAAGTCCTTAAGTGTTTTACTGGATAGTTTGGTGGAAAGCAAATTCAGGTTATTTTGGAAAAGTATTCAGCGTCAGACACATTTGCAGTTTTTTTGAAAGTGTAAGCTAGGAGAAAATAGGCTAATGGTTACATAGGAAAGTTAGGCTCACTTGGGGGAGAATATGACCGTACTCTCTCTTGCAGGAGAATGGCAGCTTGTTTCTTCTCAAAGAGGCTTCATAGAAAAAGGAAGGCTAGATAAAAGTCCTGGGTAGTTCAGTCCCTCCCCCAGCACACGTCCTTTGGAACGTACATTCTTCCCTCTGCTGAGTAGGCTCCATCTTCCAGTCTCTAAAATGCTTCTCCATCATGTTTCTGGCTCTCCAGTCACCGACATTTACAGTGGGGATGATTTTCTGTGGCTTGAGCCACTGGACAAATCGTTTCATTTCTAGGTAACTGCTGTGTTCACTGTAAGGAATCCCTGTAGCAAAACAATGCAAAGGTACCTCAGGCAGTCTGCTTCGCTGACTAAAACTATTTTTGCAAGAAACAAAGAAATACTTAAAAAGAATATTTTAATTAAATGGAGATTTAAACTTTACTCCAAGGATCAAGGAAAAATCCAGACTTCATTATTGGAAGGATTAACTAGGATCGATCTACAGTGACAATCATTAGTGGAAATTCGGTGACCCCAGCTACTTTGTGGAGTGACAAGAGGAGAGATTTTCTAGGAGATTTAACTCCATCCATAAATTGTTTGCCAGAGACTGCACCAATAAGAACAGAGGAAACAGGCTGGTACCGACAGAAGCCCTGCAGCAGGCACAGGGTCTTTCACATGAAGCCATATATGGAGTGAAATCCTGGCTCTGTTGAAATCCCTGGCAAAACTCCTATTGAGTTAAATGGGAATAGCGTTTTACCCATGGAGTCTGTGTCTGTCTTAAAGCCATTAGATCAAACTGTTTTTTTGAGAGAGGCGCATTAGAGGAAACAGTATTTAAAATCTGCATTTACAGTGTTCCAGACTGGTCAATTCTTAAGACTTATGCTGGAGACATTTATCTGCTCAGCTTCTTAGCAGAAGTGAAACCAATAAGTGGATAATATGATGAACAGTCAGAGGTGCTAGAATAAAATGTATGCAAACAATCCACACAGAACTAAATGTACTGAGCCATTTATAGTGCATGTACCATATATGGTGATCTTTCCCCTGGTCTGAGGTTTGATATCTGCCAGAGTGTGACATGAATCGGAGTACGTCCATCCAGTGGGCCTGAAAGCCAGAACTTGGTCAAACTTCTCTGAGAACTTGTTTAAGTGGTTCTGCAAGCCCTGTTAATAAAAAACAGCACATTCATGAAGACTATTAAACACCACCACCACAATGATCCAATCGTCTAAAAGGTTTTGGGGTTTGGAGAGGGGGACATTGGAGATTAAACTATATTTTTGTACAACATTTTAATGGGCACTTTCCCTTTTTTTGTTTTAAATGCCAGCTGGCTAGAAAGCAGTTATGATCAATACTTAATACTTAAATAGCACCTTTCAGCTAAGGACCTCAAAATGCTCTACAAATGCAAACAAATACTATTAGCTCTGTGTTACCGATGGGAACTCTGATGCTCAGAGAGAGTAAGTGACCCACATAAAACAACACAGCAAGTCACTTCCTGTGATATGTATCGAGCCTCCCTTGCTTAGACCACTAGACCATGCTTCCAAAAACCAAACTGAACATGACCTGAGGAAATAGTTTCTCATCTTTTAACTCAACTGACTCCAAAGATCTGACCTGAAAGTCTCATAATTTGCATGAGGCAGCCTTCAATTTTATTTATGGGATAGCAAAAGAATAAGGATCAGAGAGGTAGAGGAAGAAGTGTAAGGAATCTTCAATCCTACATTGGCATAAAGAGAAGTCAGAAATAGGAAATCAGTTTCACATGTGTACTATAGATATCCACCTTGTCCATTTGAAAGCCCTACAAGATTTTAGATTTCAGAACTGTTAACAACAAGCCAGGAGCAGGAAGAAGAACACAAGATAAATAACGACTGCTTAAAAGAAAAGAGAATAACTGAACCTGCAGATGCTGCAGAGTTTGGGGAAAGGGAAGTGAAATGCTCTCACCAGCAGCACCATGGTGCCAGTAGAAACTCGATAGCAATATTCAGAACTACCAAGACAGGCACATTTGAAAATAAAGGACCATAAATAAATAAGTACACTCTTTATTCAGTAATGGGAGCTATGGCCAGTCTTCAAAGACTCCATTTACCTAGTACAGTGGAAAAGGTTAGGTTTCATTAAGATGGCAATCAGAAGCCTAAAAGGACTATATCTGCCCATCATGATTCATTTGTAAAGAGACTGACATTTCTTACTGCAACTCTTCATAAGATTAATACACATGCATTATACTTGCCCCTCCTGTCTTAATAAAAACCAAGGACAGTACATGCAGTTCCAGTAGAGATGAACTAAAATTCAGTAGAACAATTATGAGATTAGCCTGCTCTCAGATTTTGTTATGTGTTTATTAATTGGGTACATACTGTTAATTTTTAAGGGTGGGATTTTCAGTCTGATTGAAAGTCAAATGTGCTTCTAAATCACGTAGGCTATGTCTACACTGCAATAAGACACCCACGGGCTGGCCTGTGCTAGCTGACTCAGGCTCATGGGGCTTGGGCTAAGGGGCTGTTTAATTGTGTTGTAGACGTTTGGGCTCGGATCTTCCTACCTCGCCGGGTCCTAGAGCCTGGGCTCCAGCCCAAACGTCTACCCTGTAATTAAACAGCCCCTTAGCCCGAGTCCACGAGACTGAGGCAGCCGATACAGAGCAGCTGTGGGTTTTTAACTGTCATGTGGTATCCTTAGACTCTTCTGAAAATCCCACCCTAATGCCTGTATATTACAGTCGCACTCCATTGTGGTAAGTCATGGATAGAATACATACAAAGACACAGTCCTTGCCCTGAAAAGCTTGTGCTCTTTGAAATTCTTCCACTATGAATTTAAATGGAAAAGGTCTCATGATTTCACTGTTACAAACAGATGTTTGTGATGCAAGGGGAATTCTTTTAATGTTAATATTTTTAGGGTGGGGGGGAAGGCTTCCTTCCTACAAGAACATGGCGAACTTCAGAGCTTCTTCATAAAGAGTTAAACAAGAAACATTCATACGCTTTTAAAAAATTCCTCAGACCTTCAGTCAATATTGCTCCAAAACCTTCATCCTTCTAAAATGGAAAATATAATTCACTCCTCAATCAACCTCCTTCAATCACCATGACAGCCTGTTATCTACTATTTTGCTGAAGTCAGCAGCAGTATGTGCAAATGGATCCCATAGGGTATGAGAAGGCTCAAACATGATTAAATGGTTAGTTTACAATCAGCCCTGACAACACTTCCATGCAGCTTGCTTATTCAAGAGCAGATATTCATCAGTATTTAAATGATCCCAGCATTTTTTTGTAGTCAAACAAGCATTCCATTGAAGTAACCAGTCTCTTTGAATTACCCGTTTGCCCTTTCTTTTCACACAGCAAATCCATTTGCATTACTGGAGCAATTAAGCTATTTTATTCTTCCTTTGCTTTCAAAAACAAAGCTTTGCACAGTAAAGGATTTGGAAAAAGGACATCCAGAATGTGAACCTGTAGCCCTGCATCTTGCCTCCACTTGATATAATGTCTGTAAATAGTTTTATTTTAATATCTAACTTTGATTCCTCTACTGGTCTCAAGAAAATGCTGCAAAATTACTAGTTAATATTTGACCACACTCACCCAGTACCAGGCTGAAAGCCGTCCTAACTGTAACAACTACAAATAGAGAATATTGATTTGAATTCTGCTCTTTGACTTGGATAACAAGCAGGGATGCTATTTATAGGGCAAAAAGGGTGTGCTTGCTTCCCAGATTTGGGTTTGTTTCTTTGGTACACTCCTTGATGCAATGTGACTTGCCCTTCCTGGTCTAGCTTGGGGTTTTTTGTGAGAACTATTATTCAATGTATGTAAAGCTTTGTAGATTAAAAGTTATATATACACTCTACTGGGGCAATTACAGCCCCCACCTTCAATGTTGTAATGGTCATTAGTGCAGATC